TCCAATACAGGAGGTGTGTTACTGGCCAGATCACCAGGTGAAACAGAGGAGAAAAAGCCTAAAAAAAAGAAAATGAATGCAGCCACCATATCTAATGATTTTTAAGCTGCAATACATTAAATTTTTTGTTCCACTTTTAAGTAGCACTAAAAGGCAACCCTTTTTACACTTTGCATACAGAAAGGGAGGGTTAAAACCCCTGCAAGTTTTTTTGCCATCTCTGTACCATTGTGAAGATTTTCCTTTGCTTCCTTTCCCTTAGCTAAAACAGACCGTAAAAGGAAAACCCTCCAAACTGACTGAAATACCTGGCTGTCACCAAGATCACCAAAACGAGTGTCCCCAATGGAAAATTACCCCTCTATTCCTGTTTTGGTGACCACTCAAACATTAGGATTTTCTTTCACATTCACTCTCGGGACAGAAACAAAATAATTGTGAACGGTGTTTTAATCCCTCTCTACTCCATCCAAAAATAAAAAAGGTTTTCCCTTAGGTCTTGATCACATCTGAGTGTTGAGGCTCCACACAAGTGTTCCAAGACTGCCAGGCAGTCCATTATAAAGAATCTAGTTTCTACAGAGCTATGTAGCTCAAGCTGTAATTTACACACAGAACTGAATGACTCAGCCCAATGACTCGTATTTTATCAGGCCAGTCTGAAATTTCAGTAATAATGGGATAAGTAGGCACAGTCAGGTGTATGTACCCAAAGATAACAGCACAGACGCCAATGGTAATCCAGTAAAAATATTTTAAAAGATCAATAAAAAGTCACAAATGTTCATAGTAAAGTCAAGAAATATAAATATAAAAGTCCATTCACTAGGGAAAGCTTAATCCCTTGACTAGAAGCAAACCCTAAATGCACACAGGGAGAAATAGGGAAAAGGACAGCACCGCTAAGTGTAGCGTGGACTATACCAGTTTATTAAACACGACAACCAAAGGGCCACAATCAAAACAAAACTGCGCATGCTTCGAAACGCGTCTCCTCCCACTGCCTGATGAGGTCATCATGCTGGCGATGCGTTTCACCTTGGTTTCCGGGAAGAAGATTCCTGGGATCTCCACGCGAATAGCGGCTCCAGATGCCATGCCAGTATAGTGGATCCCAGAATGGACTATCCTCATTGGCAGCGATTCTGTTAATTGATGAGCCTGAATACCTATTTGTTTTGTGAGTGGCCATTTGGCTTTTGTTCTAAATAAACTTGTTAGCGTCCATGCTACACTTAGAAGTGCTGTCCTTTTCCCTTTTTCTCCATGTGAAATTTCAGTCAGATAAACTGTGCAAATGAGGCAGACTTCTCTAAAGATAACCCGCAGTGCTCTGTGAGTCCTTTGTTTTTTTAAAATAAATATGTAATACATGCCAAAGACTGTATACATATGGGAAAAACATAGATGTCAAACAGCAGTTTAAAAATGTATACACTTTATGGCTTCATGCACTTCTAAGTCAGATGGATCTTTCTTCCAGGAGCAGTCAGAAAAATCAAGCGTAATAAATGTTTGTTTTTGTGTGTGATTACGACGTGTTCATGCGTGTTTACAGGCACACGGCATTTAGAAGCGTATGAGTGTAAACGTATTCTACTGGGCAAAACATTCATTTATACTAGCCATGTAATGAACTTATGCACATACAGGAATGTTTATGCACGTATGTACGCAAATTATGCCAGTAAGCTCCTCTCCGAATGCAGGTTTGAGGCATTTTTTCATGCTCCTGAATGCTCCTCTAACGCTCGGTTCACATTATTGCTGACTGTGTGGCCTGCATTTGCTCAGTTACAGCAACCCATTCATATAAATGGGCTGCTGCGCCCGCGTTTCTGCACAAAATAGGTGCATGCACATTTTTGAAAACGAGGTCGCATGGAAATCTCATGGTCTCCCTGCGCCTTGAGGTTTCCCTGCAGTTCCTGCACCCATAATTAAGCTGAGGGCTGAGGAGTGTAGGGAGTGCCATGTGGGTGCTGGAACAACAGCCCGCAGAGTGTGAACCTAGCCTCAGATCGAAATCCAAACACCACAATGTGCATTAACACATTGGGGAGGGGGGGGGGGGGGGGTTAATAAGACCGGAGCACACAGAATCTGGTGCAGCTGTGCATTGTAACCAATCAGCTTCCATGTTTTAATCCTCATGCACACTGGATGTTTTTACAGCGGCTGTTTTTGGCTTTTGACGTTTTTTTCTATAGCCAGTAAAACCCCAGCATGTTATCCTATGTGTCCATGCACACATAGACTGGAATCGGTGGTTTTTGAGTTTTTCGGCTGGAAAAAAACCCAGAACTAGTGGGTTTCTAGGAGTTTTTTAGCTGTTAAAACGTTCTAACACTGGAAAACATGGTAAACTGGCGTTTTTGGACTTTTTTTGAGCAAAAACAACTTTTTTTTGTACAAATAAACTGTAAAAAAAACGCTAAAAACGCAAATGCGAATAAAATGCTGCTAAACGCTAATGCAAAAACGCAAAAAAAAAAACGCACATTTTTAACAGCTAATGTTACCAGCGTTGTTAAAACGCCCCGTGTGCATGGAGCCTTTGACAATCAAAGCTCAATTGAACAAGCTGAAGTCAGAAACGGATTGGTTACTACTGCACATCTGCATCAGATTCTGTGCGCTCCAGTTGTAGTACATCTCTGCCATTAGCTGTAATGCAGCTGCGTTTGCATTCAGAGGCAATAAAACCCCCCATGGTTGCAGAAAAGCGCATAATCTATGGCTTGCTTAAAAGAGATGTATGGTATTTTTTTTTTCAAAATTATACTTACCTAGGTGGACTGATGCTGCATCTATCCACAGCATCTGTCCCCCGCAGGCCCTAAGGCTCACTGGAGTGCTGGGCTGTGCAGGGGGAGGGAGAGGCTGGCTCAGGCTCTGAAAGGCTGAGCCAGGTGCCGCTCCAGACCCTGGGGTGGATCCCAATCTTTCTCTAGCCTGGACCGGCTGAGTGACGTCAGCCGACAGCGGGCTTCAGCCTGCTGTCAGCTGAAAATGGGTCACAGGTGTGCAGAACGAACTATACCTCTGTGATCCACAGGAGAAGTACAGCCAAAAGAGCTTTGTCTGTACTTCTCCTTTAAGGCCAGTTTCAGATGGGGCAGGCTCTGTTTAGGCCAGCAGGGGATCTGTCCGCTGAACTCCTTGCTGATTTGAGCAGCGCAGGCGATTGACAGGTCCGTGTCCGCTCAGTTTAACGTGGTTGTAAAGCTTTGTTTTTTGAGGGTTTTTTAATTAAAATAAACATGTCATACTTACCTGGTCTGTGCAATGGTTTTGCACACAGCAGCCTCGATCCTCCTTTTCTCAGGTCCCCCGCAGGCACTCATGCCCACTCCCCCCTGACAAGTGCCCCCAGAACAAGCTGCTTGCTCTGGGGGCAATCATGTGTACTCACTCCTGAGTTGACTCTGTATGTCCATAATACATACAGAGCATGGCTTGGCCCTGCCCCTCCACATTGGCTGTGATTACCAGCATCAGGAGCCAATGGCTGCCACTGTTGTGTCTTAGCCAATGAGGCGAGGGAGACCAGGGAAAGCCAAGGCTCTCATGCATAGCGCTGGATCATGATATGGTAGTATTAGGGGGGGCTGAGGGAGGACTATACACTGAAGGTTTTTTACCTTGATGCTAAGAATACATGAAGATAAAAAAACCTTCAGCCTTTACAACCAGCAGCAGAGCAGACACGGACACAGCCCACTGTGTAATCAGACAGTGGACTGCTCTCAGATCTGATCTGCGTAGACGGGGGACAGATCTCCTTCTGTTTTTTGGGTTTTTTTTTTTAGCAGACTAGATCGGATGTAGGTGGGTGTAATCAGACAAGTCTGTTTGCACCCGCAGGTCTATATTGGTGAAAGGACCCTGCGATCAGCTCCGCCTGAAAAACTGACAGTCCGACCTGATTGGATCCTCTGTGTGAAAGAGGCCTAAAGTGAATTACTGGTGCACAGACATTCTGATCTACCATCTCCCTAGAATATTTTTGGTGCAAATTTCACATTCTTATTTGCCTGTTTTTCCATTTCAAGACCGCATTTCATATTTTCGAACAGATGTATTTAGGTCGCTAAGTAAAATGTTGCTTCACTTTCTGAGGCTGGTATATGCAGATAATCTGACCTCCAACACCAGACGCCCAAAACATCTACTTGCCTGTGTTTGTCACACATACGGTTTGCTCATGAAGTTATCGGAAGCTTCCAGTGTTCTCAGTGATAGCGCTTATCTCACTTCTACATTGGGTTCAGATGGTACTGGTTATAGGTTTTGCTTTCATGTATCCTAGTGTAGTACAGATGCTGGGAACTCATGACAGGACGTTCAACTTTAACACCGTTACCAACAGCCCTGATGGTTCACTTTAAAAGGCATCTGTACTGGAACAAAGAGTATACAGCTGTGAAGGTATACACTAACTGGCTTCTCCAAGGATGATTATCTTACTATATTCTGGGCCCAAAATACATTCACCATGTAAATCCACCTTGGGTGACCAAAAAAAAAAAAAAAAAAAAGAATTCCCTTCAGGTGAACTATATTCATTACTGAAGATTTTAGCCTTGAAGGCCTGTTCATACCTATGCAGTTTTCTTTTGATCTGTAATGCTCTTTGCATTGTTCTTTGCGTTTTTACACGTGTTTTTGGCATGCTTTTCCAAAAACGCAGTGGCTGAAAAATGCATAGGAGACCATGTAGTGCATTTCTGCAAAAAGCAATAAAAACCACATTGGTGTGTACCAGGCCTTACTGAGATAGAAATCTTCCATGTCCCTTCTCAAACTCAATGCCAAAGTGGGAGGATTTGCCTCTATTAGCACCAAGAAATGCAACACTAACTACTAAATATCCAGTTAGGACTGAAATACTTTAACTACTTGCCAACCGCAGATAGCCGAATGACGGCTACACTGTGGCCGCCCAGTTCTGGGAGTTCTACAGACACAGCTGATCACGTGATGTGGTAAAAGGCCAATCACAGCGGCTTTTTTACCACGTGATCAGCCGTGTCCAATGATACGCTGATCACCGGGTAATGCAATTGCCGGTTCTCGGCTGCACTTTCCTCACGCTGTCAGAGCAGTTGTCAGAGCAGGGATCAGCACCGATCATCAGGGCACTGATGATCAGTGCCCTGATGATCGGTGCCCAGCAGTGCCACCCGCCAGTTCCGCCCACCTGTGCCCAGCAGTGCACCCACCTGTGCCCAGCGGTGCCACCCAACTGTGCCCATCCACCTGTGCCCACCAGTGCCACCCACCTGTGCCCATCAATGCAGTGCTGCCAGTCAGTGCCCGGGGGTTGTGCCAGTCAGTGCCCAGCAGTTGCGCCAGTCAGTGCCCAGCAGTGATGCCAATCAGTGCCACCCATCAGTGACGCCTATCTGTGCCACCTCATTAGTGCTGCCTATCAGTGACGCCTATCTGTGCCACCTCATTAGTGCTGCCTATCAGTGCCCATCAGTGCTGCCTCATCAACGCACATCAGTGAAGGAGAAAAATTACCTGTTTGAAAAATTTTATAATAGAAAAAGAAAGAAAGCTCTATTTGTGAGAAAAAAATGATAAAAATTTCATATGGGTACAATCTTGCATGACCGCGCAATTGTCAAAGTGCGACAGCGCTGAAAGCTGAAAATTGGCCTGGTAAAGAAGTGGGTATAAGTGCCCGGTAGGCAAGGGGTTAAAGAATAAAGCTGGGTTCACACTGTAGCATGTGGTGCAGCTCGCATTTGTGCAGGTGCAGCAACCTGTTCCTTTGAATATATTTCCTGCAGGGAAAAAAATCCCTGACCCTTTCTTTAAAATGTGGCTGCATTGTGCTTTTGCACCATGTGGTTTCACGCACCTGAAAACATGCCGCTTTTTCCGATGCATGGGGCTGCCAATGGGAATTAATGGCACATCTGCTACACAATAGAGCATTTGATTGCGTGTGGGAACATGTGATTTACACGCATTCCCACACCCACAGTAGTGTGCATCTGTGCTCTAACCTAAACTTTACCACCCTCACTTTTCAAAGATCCATACTTTCTGAGATCTGTCTCCCACAGCATAAATTTTCCTCTCCTGGCCAGGCTGTTGGCCCCATAGGAATCTATGAGTGTCATTTAAAGGTGCAACCAGCAGAAACTAACTTTCACAAGGGCGATGGTAAGTACACATCTATAGAGGGTGAAGGCGGGATGATTTAGGTCAGAGCACAAGTAAAAAATGAAAAAGTGCATTCTCTCTGAAAGTATACTTTGCTGTCCTCAAACAACTGTCCATTTTCCTTAACCTCCCTAGCGGTCTGATTATGTCCATATTTCTGTGCTCAAAGCGGTACATTTTTTTGCATGGAAATATGTATTTTTTTCATTGTAGGCCTGTAATTTTTAGGAATAACGCACTGAAATCTGTCCAAACAAGAGTCTAGTAAACATCCCGGGTAGGATAAAATTTGAAACACGAAATCATAAATTAGAAGTTAATAATCATAAAAAATAATAAATAAATAATAAATGTAATTCAATAATATAATCAAACCAAAAACACTGAAATTTGAAATAGAGCGCCAAGTTCGCACATCACTGAGCAAAGTCGCAGAATCGTTTTCAGTGTCCGATGACGAATTTCCCCACGAATCATTATCACTCCCCTAAAGGGACGCTTTTTGGACGCCATGGACATTTCTCAGTTTCCAGGCAGAAAGAACAGTAAAAATGCAGGCAGGGCACAGGACAAAGCACTCGGGACAAAATGTATGTGAAATGGTTTGATACAGTAATGTTTTACTATGTGATTTTAGTGTATTGAGTGAATGTCACTTTTTACATTTTTAAATTTCCCGCCAGTTCCGTCCCCCGTACGTCCCGACGTCGCAGGGAACGCAACCCAGAAGACAGATGCCGGCATCCACCGGAGGACATTCCCGGGGACACTGCAGGAGGGACATTGCAGGAGCGCAGGACAAGGTAAGTGAAGAAGATATCCCGGAGCAGCGCTGCAAGGTATTCCCGAGTGTTGCTCGGGGTTACCGCTTGTGGTGCTGAAACTTTACCCCGAGCTACACTCAAGAATACCGCCAGGGAAGCTATAGGACAAGTTCACCTTTGGGAACATGTTACAGTTTTAGAGTGGAACATGTAACATGTTCCCATAGCTGCGGCCACCCCCCCCCCCCCCCCCTCTCCCTCTGATAAATAGTACAGGGAGACTTCTCTCCGTACTATCTGTCAAATTTGCAAAGAGTGTGGCCATGCGGGGCTCTGCCCACGCAGCAACGTCATTTGATCACAGACTTCCATGAATGAATGAACTTCAAGTCCCGGCAGCCTTAGCGGCTGTGGGCTTGTAGTATAATCCAGTGTTTCTCAACCTTTTCCTCGGTCAAGGCACCCTTTAAAATTATGGACAGTCCTGAAACACCCTTTAAAATTATGGACAGTCTTAAGGCACCCCATTCTAAAATGGGGCACCTCAAGACTGTCCATAATTTTAAAAGGGTACCCCATTCTAAAATGAAAATCTATTCTACACCCATTAGAGGTGATTTATTCTTCCAAAGCAAATACACCTTTGCACACTGGTACTGACTAGTATTCCATTGTTTCTCTTCTCCCAGCACTGATGGAGAGGGGCAAACTAGGATGCTGTGCAGGCAACTGACATCCTGCTGGCTTGTATACAAGTTTTGGCCAATTTTTAGATATTTTGCAAAGGCACCCCTGAAAAACCTCAAGGCACCCCAGGGTGCCTGGGCACCCTGGTTGAGAAAGGCTGGTATAATCAATGAACTACCACGGCGCTGTGGAAGATCATTGAAGCTTCCTGTCAGAATATCTGTACATCTAGTACGGCAAGCAGATACTGCATTCTGGCAGGTCTGCAGGAGACCTGCATGGCATCAGCGATCTACTGATCGCTGGTGCAATACTTTCCAGGCTCCTGTAGACAAAATACATGCACATTTTTTTACCTGCAAAAAAAAAGTGCATTTATTATTTTTGTCTAAAAGGTGAACTTATCCGTTAAAAACAGGGGTGTCAAACTGGCAGCCCTCCAGCTGTTGACAAACTACAAGTCCCATCATGCCTCTACTTTTGGGAGTCATGCTTGTAACTGTCAATCTTGCAATGCCTCATGGGACTTGTAGTTTGGCAACAGCTGGAGGGCCACCAGTTTGACACCTGTGCATTAAAGTGTAGGAAGACTGCCAAGTGTTGACCTTATAGAACCATTTAAGTTAAATGTGACTTATACCATGGCCTGGATAAATGCCTTCACAGACACAGGTGATCATGTGACTGTTTGATCAATTTAAAGGTAAAAAAACCCTCAGATAAATCCTAGACCCCTTTCACACTGGTGCCCTTCTGCTGTGCTTTTCCAGAGGAACAAAATAGCATGAAAATTATTTCCCATTAAATCCTATGTAGCTGTTCACTCTGTAAATGTGCTGTGCTTTGAAAAGTCCTGCATTTTGTATCTTTGGTGTAGTTTTCCAAAACTGCACCAAAAAGGCTCCTTCCATTGTAAATCAATGGGCACGCATCAAAAGTGCATCAGAAGTACATCAGTGTGAAAAACCCCTTAAAGCAAAAAGGAAGAAAGTTGCAGAGAAAAGTTTAAAATTAATTTAAAATTTTAGTAAGCATGGTCCACTGTCGTCATCAGGTAAAAACTGCCGTAAGAAATGCCAGGCATCCACTGTTGGGGCACATTCATGTAAAAGCCCCCTAAGCAGCGGTGTATTTACCATGAGACAAACAAGGCATTTGCCAAGGGCGGCAATTTTTAGCGGGGCAGCAACGCACCCCGGAAGAAGGGACCTGGTGAACAGCGGCGGACTGAGCCACGCAGGGCCGCCATCTGAAGGGTACCATTGGTATTCCTGTAGGTGGACCAGACAGCAGGAGGATCGGTGTGGTGGGGGGAGAGCAGTTGCAGAATGATGCTCTGTGTATCTCTCCCTCCAGCAGCTGAAAGCCGTTACCCCCCCCCCCCCCCTCACCAGCTTTCTGTTGCTGGAGGGAGAAACAGACCTGGCCGGATTGAGGGGGTGCCTTGGTGTTCCTGAGTAGCCGCTGAACTCCTTCCCCCGCCTGCACTCAGAGATGAAACCAGGGAAAGCCTGGAGCAGGGAGAGAAGTGGCAGAGAGCAAAGAGCCAGGAGGAGGTGAGCTGTGTTGTGTTCTCTGGGCTCTCCCTTCTATCCTCCATGCAGCACGAGACAGGATCACTGATAGATCGTACGGGACTGTACACACACACACACACTCTATTACCACCCCTACTTGCTCCAAGGGCTGCTCATCTCCGGGCAGTAGGAAATGTGGGTAGGGGGTGGTAATCATACCGTGTGTGTACAGTCCCATATGATCCATCAGTAATCCTGTCTCATGTGCTGCATGGACGACAGGAGGGAGAACCCAGAGAACACAATACAGCCCACCTCCTCCTGGCTCTTTCCACTTTTTCTAGGAAGTGTAATGGGGATTTTGGAAGGGGGGGGAAAGAAGAGAGAGAAAGAATCATATATACACACACACTCCTTGAACTTTCACGCTCTCTCATTGGAGGGGGTGTGTGCACAATTTTTGTGTTGCCTAGGGCAGCACAAAACCTAAATACACCACTGCCCCTATGTGATAGCATGGGCAGGTGACAAGGTACTTTATGGAGACATCAGGGGTCTCTTAGGACCCCAATGTCTCTCCTTCTCTCCACTACAGCTGATCAAGAACAGTTCATACTTGATTAGCTGCTTCCCTAACTGTTGTGAACCCAGAAGTGACAACATTCTTGTCACTTCCAGGTTAGGTAGTCACAGGGGAGATCAAGAAGTAGATGTTCCTCCTCCCCTTCTCCATCCTGTGATTTACTGTGGTGAAATCACTGAGAAATGAAACTTTAAGCCTATATGTCATTTTGTTTTCTTAATTTTAGTTACACTTTAATGGTACACAATGCTTTAACAAACTAAATGTTTTTCCAGTAAGGTTTACATCTACTTTATCCGACAATACTAGGGATCTTCACTAACTTTAAGATATCTTGGAATGTTCACTTAGTGCCAGTGATGCCAGCAAAGATGCCAATGGGTTCCACAACTTCTGCCTAAGACGCAACTGCACTAATAAAACATGTGTCATTATAGAATGATAAGTACAATGAAGCATACCAGATACAGTATATTATTATTATACAGTATTTATATAGCGCCGAAGGGTGTGCTCAGCGCTGTACATTAGCGAGGGGTACAGAACATGAGACAATACAATACACAAGGCGTTCAAGGGCCCTGCTCTTTCGAGCTTACAATCAGGTATATCCTAGATATATCTTGTTGCCATTAGTGAAAACTAAGAGCCATAGTAGTCACTTGTATTTCTACACATGGCAATAATTACACCACTGCCCATACAACTGGATGTACAATGTA